TAATCAAGCCTTTCAAGTTACACTTAAACTTCACGATTCGTAAGTTATGTTAAAATTCCCTCACCTTTAATTTATAATCTTGTTTTAAAAAATAACCCTCTTCAACTTTATAAAATAAATAGCATAGTAAAATTCTTGGATTGTTCGGTTAGAGGTCAAGTTTATTAGGGAACAAATTGAAAAAATATTATATAAAAAGTTAGAAAATATTGTATAAAAATTTAATAAATTTTGTAATAAAATTTATTAAAATTTTGTTAAGTAATTAATTTTTTTATTTAGTAATAAATTAATATTAAAAAAAGTTTAAGAAAAACTCTTTGCATGAGGTAAAAAATTTATGAATTAAGAATTATGTCAAAAAATAAGCATTAAAAATGTTAGTTTTATTCTTATTTTATTATAATTTTATTAAAATATAAAAATATAAAAATAATCTTATAAATAGAGAGTTTGGAGTAAAAAGGCATGCAGGCCCTTAAGTCTTCAAACAAAACAACCACCGGTAGAACCTATTTTCCATCTTCAATTTAATGATAAGAAATTTGAATTTCTAATTTTCACCATAAGTTAAGGTATTATTAAATTAATGAGTATTAATTTGATCGAGGTATTGATAATACTCTTAAATACTATTAATGACCACAAAAGTTCTCCTCTAAAATTCATCCATCATACCATTTTTTATAATATTATTAGGGATGTACTATGTAGCTATAATCACGTATTAATTAGTTAAAGTCACATAATATTGTTAAAAGAGAAAAAGTATTTTACAAATTATTCTCTCAAATTCTTTTTAGAAGACATATTTAAAAACTTTTTTTTTTATTTATATTTTTTAAAAACATTGTTAAATTAAAAATTTTATTCATATAGATTATGTATGTAAATTTTTATATTAATCTAATAAGTTTAACTATTTCGTTAATTATATGAAATTTAATACCGTTAAATATATACCAGTAAATTGGGTTATTTTGATTAAATGATTATAAGTATTAGATTAATATGAAAATTGATATATATAATCTACTTAAATAAAATTTTCAATCCAAT